ACTGTGTTTTTTATGACGCCCATCATTTGTGCTTTTATTGGACACAACATTGTTCCCTTGTCACGTTCCTGAACTAGGGAATGAAGAACAATGTTTCTGCTGAGCATTTATAGAGAAGCCACACATATGTTTCAACTTACGTGAGATGAAATAATCGTACAGCCTTGCCGGGCGAAGAATGCGATATTCTGGATCTTTGCTATTTTCCAGTATATCTTCGCCTGAAGGCCATGACACTTAATGGTCTCTCACGGGATATCTGTGGCCTCGCTGAATAAGACTACTTCATTTAAATTTGCATGTCTAAGCGTTTTGGAGCCGCTGACGAGCTCAGTAAATACACCTCCTTCCAAGTTGCATGACTATAGGTCAAAGGCGCGGAAGCCTTGACACTGAAAGGGTGTCGCACAAGGCTGTTCGTTCAGGGTTTCGCGGATGAAACGCCAAGTTCTCGGAGAGGCGGTCAACCCAATGAAATATTGGCGCTCTGCGGCGCCAACCGCGTGAGCGCTGGCGCTGGCATCCTCCGATTTTTCGCACTATCTGCCGAACTGTGGTGAGAAAATTAAAGTGTACGCCTTGTAGTTCAAAGTCAATTTGCATCTGAACGGAAACTTTCAGCTGCTCATCGCTTGAGGGCAGGAAAGGCTATAAAAGTGTTCTCAAGTTTGTGAACAGTGAGAATGCGGACATTTGGCACTCCGCTGTGAATATATTTGACGTCGCTATCCATGGATTTTCTGCTTGCCGTGGTGTAGCCACTTCTTTATAGTAGTGTTGAGGGCATCACCAATGCGCGCTCTGGTGCACCTCCCCCATCTCTGCACCAACAGACAAAGCGTGTGAATCAGGGGCTCAAAATATGCACCATACTTAGAAAGCACTCAGGATAGCTTGCATGAGGTGGAGCTGAAGCCATCCTTGGTTATGGTATGGTGAAGTTTTGATTGGTTATATTGCCTCAGCCGACTGTGGCATGTTCTGCTTCTGCTGCTAGAGGCTAGATGTTTGTTCAGCTTCGTTCAGCTCTATATGCAAATGAAACCCATGAGCATACATATGTGGCGTCATGAAAGTACCTTCAGGGGTAACGTGACCCCGTGACCTGGCATGACCGCCGTTCATCAACCTTCAACGGAGCTGTATTAAACCGGGAGCTAGAGTACAGCAATGGATCTGATTGTCAGTGTTGGTGTCTAATGCGTTAAATCACGCATCATAGCTATTTACAGCTCCAAGTTATCGGTTTACAGCCTTTTTTTCGGAACAAGCGAGAATATCACGCTACCTGTCCAGTGTCGTCACCAGCGACGCATAACAACCCATGCATTTTTCCTTTTTAAAGCTGAAGCGCTGGTGCTATTACACGGTAAGTCCGTGTATCCAACGGTGTTCGAAGATCGAGGGTGGACGCAAAAGCTACTAGGCAACAACTCCCTCGCGAGTCGAGTCT